TCAATATCGATATATTTTTTTGTGTTAAATATTATCATGTTGAACGCATTATTGATAGCAAAAGATTTGTGAAATCGATGATATTACGTTGATAATACATATCGAGAATGTTTATACTGTATATAAATTAATCTTTATCAGATCATCTAATAAAGAGCACGAAATTGGAGATGTTTCATCTTATCCTTGAAAGAACTCGATATATCTTCGTTCTCGTTAATTTCATCTAAATACCAAAGAAAAAAAATAGTGAATTTAAAACATATATTATAGAGCTTAAATATTTATAATTAATATGAAATATCAATCTGATTTATATTTTGAAATAGAACAGTATCATTTAGGATTGAACTTGATTTGTAGTTGGATATTTTGATTTTGTTTAAAGCAGTAGGAATGTTTTTTCTGATATTCCATTTCTTCCATTCTAAGACACGTTTTATTTTCTTTATTCTCTAAAGAGCTGTCGTACAGAAAATGCAAAATATTCGGTTACCAGTTCTCAGATGAAGTCTCGATAGAGTAAATAGTAAATCATGACTTTTCTAAAATAGGATCCCACTAATAAATTTACACTATCTGGAAATATCATTTAGCATCTTAGGTCGTACTCCTTTATAGGTATCGTATACAGATATATGTCATGACTCCGCTCACCAAGTTGGTCATTTATTTGTGAAAAACTCGTACGTAACCAATAAATATATGCTAGTTTCGTGTATGACTTTCCATTTTACACCTCTGTAATAATATCTGTTGGGCCGGTAAGCCAAAATTAGCAATGTAGGCATTAAAACGCAATAACATATTTCAGGGTGAAAGTCATGATGCACAAATCCTCTGTGGATTTTGCAAATTCATGGATAATAACAATCTTAACGTTAACGATAAATAATACATTCATACGATCAAACAAAAAGTTTGTTTCCCGGAACTTTTTTCGGTTCGAAGCATCTAACGGAAAGTAATGGTGCCCGCCAAAACGTGATCGACCTTGTGCAATATGTGCAACATATTTCATAGGTTGTACATGTAAAACCTGGCAGCATATTCCGACCGCTGATCTCGGCCGCCCTTAGTTGCACGTGTCTAATCTGATTGGACTGATTAGATTGACTGGATTACCGTAACTAGTACACTCTTATGAGTTACTATTATACGCGGTGACTCCTCTGCCAAGCGGTTCCGAGAAAATAAAATTTGGCGCTGCTGGGTTTCATAAAGATCAACTTTGAATTGGGTTTCCAAAACTACAATTATATTCCATTGTAACAGTTCTTGATATTATCTGATCAGCTTTCGTAAACAATATGTTGTTTGTTATTATTGTGGTGAATCAGTACTTGAAGAAATGTCTACTGCTTGGAAAAACATATATCTTTTATGTGTTTATTGCAAGAATACCGGAAAAACATGATATAAACGGGGACCAATCAAGTTTAATATGAGAAAGATGAAATGGAGTAAACGTAGTTTATTTGTGTTACATAAAATATAGATTATACCGTATAGGAAATTCAAGCATTATCGTTATCAATATTATCTTATCAAGTAATCTATAACCAGTGTTTATTTCTCATGTTTGTTCCCCACCTTGATTTTTTCAAAAAAAGACGTTAAATAATTGTTCAATTTCAATCAGCTTAAATAGCTTTTATTTGAATCTTTTTATAAAATTTCTTAAGAATTTCTAAAATTTCTAAAGTATAAAGAAATATTGATCGGTTATATTGAAGCACTATTGATATAATCAAGTAATGAATAAATATTTCACTATACTTACTGTGGTTTTTACATAGCAATAATCAAAACGAAGATTCAGAGATAGAGTTCTTCATAAATAAATAGATTGCTATTTCATATTCATAACAAAATATCAATTCGATTCCATCTTTATAAATAGATAATCTGGATAAGTGATTTTATTCTTCATGCAATTACTTTTGGTTCGTTTTCTGATGTATCATCTGTCGAAAGACCTTTCATGAAATTTGAATTATCAAATGTATTATAGTCTTAACATGCAAATTTCTTATTTCCATAGGAAGTATTGATACAATATTTGTATTATCGTTTGCGGATTCCAAATTGGCTTAAGGCATATTTTTGATAAGATATATCTAAGAGAAATGCTATCTTATCGTTATATAAATTTTCTCGATCGATTTTTAGAGTTTATTTTCTAAAGTAGTGAAAGCATGTATTATATTGATTCATAAGTCAGAAATTGTTCGATTTTATTTAATATTATCTTAATACTTATTCTTTGATGCTGTCTTTAATACACAAATGCATTTTGTGGTCATAATGTCATAGCAATTACTATATCGTTTATTTTACCATATAACGTAAGCTCAAAGATGGAGCCTATTACTCATGATTGTAATAAATTGTTGCTATAATCAATACAGCAAAGTGTGTTCAATCACAATCCTTTAGTTTGTAGATTTCTACGAGCTTTAAATAGTTTTTTTAGTAGTGAAAGAAATTATACTAAGGAAAAATTTGCTAAACACCAATACCTCATTAGACTTCTATCTAGACATTTGTCGTTAAAATTTGATATTCTTTAGACAATCGACATCTATTAGACTTTGATCTAAATGCTTAAAGAAGAAAATTTGGATAACATATGGCTGTCAGTCATAATTGTTTTCAACAATCAAGATATTTGTGTAAAGTAATTAGGACATTTGTCATGATATCAAAATGAATTACAGCAAGCAGCTCTAAGTTAGCAGCATTAATCGCCGAAATTTCTGTGTTTCTTGTGCCTAAAAAGAATATGCGAGTTTTTGTTGGTTTAGACTGCTTTCTTATATATAATTTTAAATTTAATTGTTACATATAATATTTTAAGAATTAATTATCAATGTGTATTTTATGAATAAAATATATCATCAATCATTGGTACATGGGTCAAGAAAAACACATGTTATATGTATATAGAGAAAGCTAATAAATAAAGTGATAGAATATTTAATAAATAATATAATTTTTTTTCGTTGTGCAATTTGAAACTAACAATTAAAATTTTTTATCGTTATTTTTAATTTCTAAAGAATTGCTTCCTTCAATATTATTGGAAATGTTTCGCCATGAATTTGTAATTTTCTTGTAAGTCACTAATATCTCTTTGTTTGTAATCTAAATATTCAAATTAATATGATATATCGATATGATTGGTAATGAGATATCACGTATACCTGTATTATTTGAAAATTGAATTTCTGTTCTTTGCTTATATTGAAAAAATATTATTTTTTCCAATATAAGATACGTGTGTTTTAGAGTATTCTGAGTGTTCAATTTCACTTCAAAACGAAAAAAGTGTAATATTGGAGTCATAGGTAAAAGGAGTATAGTTGGATATACAAGTAGAGTAACGTAGTACAACTTTGAATATCATATGTGTATGTTCAATGAATATTCATAAAAGTGCGCAAATTTTTTGTCAATCACCAATAAGAATGTACAAATTTTTGATCAACCCGGCAAAACAAATCCGACACAGGATATGAAAAATGTGAGAAATGTGAATATTACAAGAAAACCAATACTTTAACCTATCTTGGAATATTAAGTAAAAATGTTAGGAAGGCGATTTTATATATAAACTTGCCCTCTAATCCTAACCCTAACCCTTATCCTAACTTTATCGGTTGCACGCAGAAAATTTAAGATGAACTGAATCACATGTTCACCAGGCCTTAGCCAACTCCTGAATCGGTCACTTTATGACATAATATCTCAAAACCTAGTGATTAAATTTGAACGAAAATACCACCATTTGATTTGCCTAAATTAGACAAATCGAATGATGGTATTTTCGTTCAAATTTAATCACTAGGTGTTGAGATATTATGTCATAAAGTGACTGATTTATTGTATTTGGGCATGAAGTATATGAACATACAATATCCAATATAAAAGCTCTACCAACCTATAAAAAAGTATCAACGATCAGCATTTGTAATGTTCTTTGTGCTCGGAAAAATTTTGTGCGTTACACATGATTTACGGAAAGTTAGGGGGGGGGGGGGTCGGATACTTTTGGCCACGACTGTATATCTCATCACGTCTTCTGGGAAAGGACTAGATTCCAAGTTAACTGAAAATAGCTTTTTTACGTATTAAATTTAATATCCGATTTATATTAACGTTAACATATTATGGAATAACTAAAAACCCAGCGACAAATAAATACCCGATGGTGATATTGTAGTAAATGCACTATATACGTAATTGCTATGTATGCATCGATTATCACTATCAACTTTATTAAGTTGAATGACCTAACGAGAATAAAGATATCGATAGTCTAACAAAAAATTTTGTGGTCATTAATACGCGTTTCCAAAGGATCCCTTTTGAGCGATTCACTAATGTTGGATATCTTCCAACGAGAAGAATTTATAAGGCAACCTGGTTGGACGGACCGATTCACAAGTGGGATCATGAACAAAATAAATTTAAACAATGGGAAGAATGTAGAGTTGTGTTGAAATCATTACGTGATTCAATCAGAGTTTAGCGAGATAAGGTCAACAACTTCTAAAATGTAATCAAGTTGCTTTTTTGCTTTCTAATACTTTTCAAAATTAGATTCAGAATAGTAATATAAAATATTATGGAATAACTAAAAACCCAGCTACAAATGAATATTCGGTAGTGATGATTGTAGTGAATGTACCGATTGTCAAGAAAATGAGTTCTGCTTTCTATGTATCGATTACCACAAACGCATTGAATGGTACAGCGAAAATAAAGATATCGACAGTTTAATAAATGAATGCGCGGAAAATTCAAATGAATCCCTTTTGAAATATTTACCGATGTTGAATATCTTGCAAAAGGGAGGTTTCGGAACAATTTATAAACCATCTTTCTGCTATTACGACAGGTTTTGTGTGTACATGTCAAACAGTTTATGCACGAAAAATCAAAGTTTATTTATTATTTTTTCGGCTACATGCCAAAAAAAGATTAGGTTTAAATTTCTATGGTCCGGCCATTTGTTTTTTGGGTAAAATGTTTTTGTTCGAGAGCATAACTCGGCAATCAGTTGGATCCTCATAAAAAATGTCTAAGCGATTCTTAAAATACTCTTTTTCTTATATTTAATAAGAGAAAAACCAACAATAATAGTCAAAGTGATACTAATAAGCGAAGCACCTATACCTACACCAACCATAATAGCAGCATTACTAGCGCTAGATTTAGTAAAATTTTCATTCGATGGATTAGAAGTTGTTGGTATTCCATTTGGATTAGACGTTGTTGATATGGCCATTGATGAGTTCTAAGGTTTAAATGGTTGAAAGAAAATAAAGGATGTCTGTTGAATAAAAAGGAATCCCACAAATATGAAACTTTAAAAGTATCCTACCAAATATTCTGCTGTCACCTCATCAGCAGATAAGCGCCAGTTGTAATAACGAAAATTACTATTTAATAGAAGATCGTTTAGAATCGATGTGTTTACAACAATAATGACTTCACTACTGTGATAACGATAAAGTATACCTAATTTGGCCAGTAATTCCATCATTGAAGTTATCGTTTCCGATGTACAGAGGTCCCTCATTGAATACGACTTTTTCCGTCCGAACATTCTGGATGCTCGTGAATCCGACCCATATTCCATCCATGTAGAAATCCAATCGCTTTTCTGATTCAGAAAGTGTGTAAACTAGATGGTACCATTGGTTCAGAGTAAGCCCGTCGCCGACCGCCAAGAGCCCGAAATTTGAGTTATCAGTTATCGAGAGGCGAACATGCGGTGCTGAATTGTTTGGCGACAGAAAGAGTGAGGGCGTACGGATTGGCCGCCTAAATGTACATTAAACAGAAATATTCTAAATACCTTCACGTGTGGTCAAAGAACCCCGTTCTTCTTGAAAATATATATACCTTTACGAAAGACGCAAATATAATCAGGGAAATTATTCAGAATATTCAGTCGTAGTGTTACCGATAACGAGTCTTCCACTACCGGCAAATCAGCATGTTGTATTGCTTTTCTGTCCTTACTAGACATAATAGTTGGTTCTGAAATAAGTTCTTTGAACGTTCTTGAGCTACCGACGATTTGTCGTACTTGCAGACAGAAAACAAACAGTAAAAAATTCAAGGCATTTTGTTTCATTCTTGAAATCTCATCAATAGAATTCACAAAAAATTAGTAAAGAATTAGAGATAATGTTCTGGAAAAAGTAAAATGATGAAAATTAGTTCAAAGAAACCTGATTATTGGTGCTAAAATAAAAGTGAATTCGGAAGTATTTGACAGTTGCATGTATATTAAAAACTCTTGTCCACTTACATAATTGCAGTTGTTGAAGATTTTTCTTGGAATTTCGCGAAAATAGTCAGTTAATAATTGCATGTACAAAGCTTAGATAGATAATTATTTTTTAACAGTAGGTTTTATCGTTCCCAATACTTTATCAAGAATATTGTCACGCATTTTATTTGTTGGATTATTTTGTCAAATGTTTACTATCGATATTAATTAATTATTTGATTTTAACTTTATTAGTGTTAGATGTTACAATGAAACCATTGATTGGTTTTTCATTGTATTATTGTTTCATAGCGAAGATATTGATAGTTTCAATTATACTTATTATGAAATTGATATAGTGAAATCAGCTACATGTGACGATAGTGGATTGCATATCTATTTTTTTCTATTACTTCATTAATACGTTCTGACATTGAGTGTATAAAGTGAAGAATTTTCTCCGATGTAATAGTATTTCATGCGGAAATACGGCTTCCTCCAAGTCAGCTTCTGTCTATGGCTTTCGATTTTTATGAATTCAGCATTTAATCTCTTTCCACACATTTCAATTAGACTCAGGTCTGGTGATTGTGGTGACCACTCCATTGTCCAATTCCACGATTATCTTTACAGGTTTGCTCCTGTGAATTGGTGCATTGTCCTCTGGAAATATCGCCTCTTCTGCAACCATAATCATTGGGTAAATTACATCTAAAATAATGCTCCCATACTTTTCACCATTCATACATCCACAGACCATAATAGATTTTCGACCACTTTTAACGGTTGCTTGTGTGCAATTTGGATCATAAAGCTCACCAAACACGAACTTTTCCATATGAATGGTGTTGACAGAGGATTCATCAGTCCAAAGAACGCGTCGCTAATCTTTGGTCCAATTTTGTTTTAGCCCAGTTTAATCGTTTGATTCGATCTGCTTCATTAGCCCATGGTTTTTTGCGTGCAATATTGGATTTGATACCATTTTTCTTTAAATTTCTTATCAGGGTACGTGGAGATATGTTAGTAGATGAGATTTTAGTGGCAAGCAGGCGTTTTGACATTCTCCTCACCATTGGATTTGCTTTAATTTTTCGAAGAATTAAACGTTCAGAACGATCATCGACAATTAATTTTCGGCCACTATTCTTTCTTTTTAAATAACCACAATTTTGGGTCAATTTTCGTTTAATACAGCTTTTGACCAGTAGCTGATCGTTCAAGGACGCATGCAATTTTTGCAGCGGACATGCCTTGTTTCTCGAGTATTTCAACAGTGCGGCATTCTCCGTTAGTAAGGTCTCTGTTCCGACCCATTTGTATATACAATTTGAATTTTCAAGGTTTATAAATAGTAAATTGAACAAAATCGAACATCTTTTGTTAGCAGACAAAAACACGCGGGTTCAATTTTAATGTTGTTATTACATGTATATTGCTATATACTGCGACAACATGTATGGTATTACAAAATCATAACGATAACGATAACTAGTAAGCTAATTGTGCTCTGTGAATAGTGAATAAAAATGAATACAATTTGTATATTCATTTAAATTATTCCAAGTCTATTAAACAAGCAATTTCTACATTATAAATAAATTGTAATTTATTAAATACATGTACGTCAAAGATTACGTAATCAGTCTGTTATACGTCGTTTCGGGATTCACGTCAATTCGGAATTGACGTGAATTCCGAAACGTTGTATAACACTGACACATGACATAGAAAATCGATCGTCTAATATTTTACATAAATTAATAAATGTTGGAGTATTGATGACATAATGATAAGATTCACCGTTGTTGAACTTGTTCGGTTAATACATATCGATAGGTATAACGATAATTGATATTACCAACAAAGGAGTGTTCCTATGAACCGAACCGAACAGGACTTTTGCCCGGGTTCGAGTTCGGTTCGAAATTCGAACCGAACTCGAACCGTTATACGAGTTCGAGTCTGGTTCGAGCTCAATTAAAGATCAGCATATAGTATCATATACTGATTTGTAGCGCTAAATATAATCTACAACTTTACTTATAAGCATAATTTATAGTATTTAGTAAGAATTAAAAGTTTACATAGTGATAACTAAAGTATTTTTATTTTTACGTT